CCTGACACTCTCCCCCCAGGGTGGGTTCTGACATTCATTACTCTAAGACAGACCTGCACAACTTGGCGGTAGGTAGTGATCAAAATTAAAAAAGGCTAAACTTATTCAGGCCCAAGATAGATCAGACTAGAGACAGACTGATGATGGTTGGTTGCCGAGGGTCACGTGACAAACAGAAGAGTGCACAGTGGCAACCCCACATTTTTCACAGCCCGCTGGCCAAAAATCCTTTGGCCTGCCGTTGCCGAACATCTTGCGGGCCTGCTGTAAGGTCTGCTTCAAGCCTTAGCCCCCTCAGTCTTTAATCAGGGATCAATTCCTGAAGCTACAGAGAATGGCTTTTTCTCCTTGTAAAGCTCCAGGCATCAGCTAACAAATAATTGGGAGACCACCGAGAAGCCTTCCTAGAATCCCTGAAATCACTATGCATGCAATCGTCTATGACCAGACCTTGATTACTGTTCAATGTTTTGGTGTTTTTACAAGTTCAAGGGATCGTAGTATTCAGTGCTGCAAAGAGACCTTGGAGAGGTCACCTCATCCAACCCCTCCCCCCATTTTATAGATGAAGAAACTGAATTCTAGAAAGGTCACATGACTCGCCTGAGATTACTCAGTTCTAAAGAGCAGAGGCAGGATTGGAATCCAAGTCCTCTAACTTGAAATCCAGCATTCCTCAGTCATCTGGGCTACTAGGGTACCTAACTCTCTATTCCCGGCCATTCTATCATTTTTCATATTTATTATTTTACATTTTATTTTCATATTTATTATTTTATTATTGTTTTCATACTATTATTATTATATGAGGAAACCGAAGGAGACAGAGGCAAAATGACTGGTCCATGGTCACACAGTTAGTAAGTGTCTGAGATTGGATTTGAACTCAGATCTTCCTAACTCCAGAACCAGTGCTATCCTTGGTACCACCTAGTTATTTGGGAGAAGGATGTCAGTGGTGGGAACTTTCCAATGACCCACTTATAGTTTTAGTCTACATCATCTACTGGGTTGAGTTCCTTAAATCCATCATGGGTAGAACCCATCAGACAGTGAGCTCCTTGAGGGCAGGGGCTGTCTTGTCTTTTTTCTTCCCTATCACCAGCACTTACCATAGTGTCTGGCACATAGCAGGCACTTATTAAGGAAGAAAGCCACTTATTGAGGAAGAAAAGTTTATTCATCCAAAGTTTACTCCTTTCAAGATACGTGTGGAAAAGGCTAAGTCTGGTGTTTCAGCAAGTGGGGAACAACTCTGTGTTCACTTTCTCCATAAACTTGGAAATTGCAGACTTTAATTATATTTCTTCTCTGCCTTTCTCTTTCCAGATTATAGAATCGAAGAATTCTAGAGCTGTAAGGGGTCTTGGAACATAGAATGTCAGAACTGGGTCGGGGGGGGGCATTAGAACATAGAATGTCACAGCTAGAAGTAGCCTTGTAACATAGAATGACAGAACTGGGAAGGGAATTAGAACTTAGAATGTCAAAGCTAGAAGGAGCCTTGAAACATAGACCATCAGAACTCAGAGGGGCCTTAGAATATAGGATGTCAGACTTGGGAGGCATCTTAACACAATGAGTGTCAGAATTGGAAGAAACCTTAGAATACAGAGTGTCAGACTTGGGTGAGGCCTTAGGATATAGAATGTCAGTGCTGAAAAGTACTTTAGAATATAGAATTTCAGGGCTGGGAGAGGCCTTAAAATAAATATAGAGTATCAGAGCTGGAAAGGGCCTTAGAATATAGAATGTCAGACCTGTGAGAGGTCTTAGAACTTAACAGGAGTTCTTAACCTGGGGTATGTGATGTTTTTTAAAATTATATTTTTATAACCATTTTTGGTTTCCTCTGTAGTCCTTTACATTTTATTTTATGCATTTAAAAACATTAGTCTGAGAAGGAGTCTATAAACTTCACCAACTGTTAAAAGGGTCTATGACTCAAAAAAGTTAAGAAATTCTAACCTATAATGTCTCAGCTGGGAGGGACCAGAGAACATAGAATTTCAGAGCTAGAAGAGGCTTTAGAACACAGAATGTCAAAACTGGGATGGATCTTAGGATGGAGAGATGACTGAATGAATATTTATTAAGCACTATGCTATGTGCCAGGCACTGGAGATACAGATACAAAAATGATTCTACCCTCAAGGAACTTACATTCTAACAGAGAATAATCTATAAGAGGGTGCAACTACAGGCCAAATGACAAGGCCCGGTGTCCTTAGGATGTGGTGGAAGGGCAGAATATCTGGGAGGAAAGGTTGGTTAACAGTAGCAAACGGGCAGCTAGGTGGCACAGTGGATAGAGCACCGGCCCTGGGATCAGGAGGGCCTGAGTTCAAATTCCCAAATTCGGCCTCAGACACATAACACTTACTAGCTGTGTGACTTGGGACAAGTCACTTAACCCCAATTGCATCACCAAAAAATCCCCCCAAAAAACAGTCTCAAATGATCCAAAGAGATCAAGAAAGATGATTGAGAAAATGCCATTTGATTTATCAATCCAGAGATAATTAGTAACTTTTGAAAGAATAGTTTCAGTTTAGTGATGAAGTCAGAAGCAGGATTACAGAAGGTTTAGAAAAAAGTGAGAAGTGGAGGCCCAAGTGTAGACAGTTTTTTCAAAGAGTTTGACTGAGAAGGGAAGAGATAGAAGGCTATAGCTAGCAGGGATGGTTGGATCTAGTCTTCAAGATGAGAAAGACTTGGGTGAGTTTGTAGGCAGAAAAGGAAAAAAAAAAAAACAAGATAGTGAGAGATTGAAAGTTAGAGAGAGTGAGTATGATAGCGAGTTATCCAGTGGAGAAGACAGGAGGCAATCAGATCCAGAATCCATGTAGTGACCTGGATGGCCTTGGAGAAAAGGCACTCAGCTCTTTGTGAGAGACTAAAATAAAGGTGGTACCAGAGGGTGAAGTTAAGAGGCTGGAAGATGGGCAGTGGAGAAGATGAGTGAGCTCAGAGGGGAAGGCACTCCTAGCTACAGGAGCAGGGACCAGGAAAAGCCTCCCAAAGAAGGTGGGATTTGAGCTAGGCTTGAGATGAGTCTTGAAGAAGTCAGGGATGATAGGAAGAGGAGGTGAGAAGGAAGAGTATTTCAGGCATGAAATACCTGAAAATGCCCAGAGCCAGGAGATGGCATGTCTTCTTCAGAGAAGAGCATGGAGGTCCATGAAGCTAGATTGCAAAGGATATGGAGAACAAAGTGTAAGATTAGGGAAGTAGGAAGGGGCCGGGTTTGTTTGCTTTTTCTGCTTCAAACACCAAACTGAGGATTCTTATATTTGATCCTGGAAGTAATATGGAGGTACTGGAGTTTATTGAGTAGGGGACGGGATATGGTCAGACTCGCTCATTAGGAAAATCACTTTGCTAGCTGAATGAAGGAGAGGTTGGAGTGGAGAGGCTTGAGGCATAGACACCCACCAGAAGGTACCTCAGGGAACTCAGTGGGGGAAAAGTTTTCTAGTCACCTCTTTAAATTGGAATCTACTCTCCTCAGGGGCTAAGGTAGTCTGTAGAGGGAAGAAAGCTAACAGGGTGTAGGAGGTGGTTGTACTTTGGTTCTAGCTATATCTTTTCAGAAAACATCCCTTTGTAAAAGCTAATTGATGTTCATTGATTATCAATGATGTTGAGGAAATGTTTGCTGTTCAGTTGTACAGCTCTTCATAGGATTTTCTTGGCAGAGATACTAAAGTGGTTTGTCATTTCATTCTCCAGTTTATTTTACAGATGAGGAAACTGAGGCAAACAAGATGAAGTGACTTGACCAGGATCACACAGCTAGTTAAGTGTCTGAGGCTGGATTTGAACTAGGGTCTTCCTGACTCCAGGCCCGGTGCTCTATGCACTGCACCACGTAAGGGCCCATGAGGAACTACAAACAGGTAACTTACATTGAGGCATTAATGATTGGATGATATTGTAGATATATTAAATGGCCATGAATGTTAGAGAAAGACACCTGATGGTTTTTCCAGCTCAAAGCATTAGAAACACACCCACAGCCAATCAGGGGTAACCTGGGGACCCATCTGCCAGTGGAACTGGGGTGGAGAGGAAACTTCAGAACATTTATGAGGGCTACAGGCCTCTGTAAGAGCTCATTGTTGTTAACTGATAACCAGTTAGTTCATATTAAGGACACGTCAGTAGGTAATTTGTTATTCAGGCACTAATCTGATGGTTGCAGTGGATGGAACAACAGACCTAGATTCAGGAAGACCTGAGCTCAAATACGACCTCAGTCTCTTCCTAGCTTTGAATCTTGGGTAAATCCCGTTTGCTCTGCCTGTTTTTTCATCATGTATAAAATGGAGATGATAATAACACCTACCTCCCAGGACTGCTGTGAGAATAAAATCAGATAATACTTGTGGAGTGCTTTGCAAACCTTCAAGAGTTATATAAACGCTAGCTCTAATCATTGGTTGGATATTAGGGGCACTTAACCGTAGATTGATATTAGGATGTTCCAATGCATAGCCTTAGACCCAGCCAATCAGAAGTACCCTGGGGACCACACTTGCCAGTGAAGTTGAAGGCTGGAAGAGCGATTTCCCAGAGCGTTTATAAGGACTACGTTAGCGTCGTCTTTTCGTCCTCTCACACTTGAAATCCCCTGTTTGCTTTCACAGACCTCCCAGATGCTGGGGTGTCTCCCCACCCAGACTCTAAGCTCAAGCAGGTCAGGGGCTACTTCTTTTTTATCTGTCCGGCAGCACACGTTGCTGGATGACAAAGCCAGACTCAAACTCGAGCCGCGGCTCAGCGGGGCTGGTCCTCTTCTGCCCTCCAAGCATCTTCTGAGCATCCTTCTGCCTTCCGTGGCTGGGCGGGGCAGCCCGGGACAAGCCGGTGCAGGCCGGCGGCCAGCGGAGGCGGCGTCATCCGCCCGCCCCGGGGTGGGCTGGCTCTTGGCAGCGGTTCTAGGGCTCTAGGGGAGAAGGAAGAGGAGGAGGAGGAGAAGGAGCAGAAGGAGGAGGGACCAGGGCTGGCTGCCTGGGCGGAGGGGGGCGGGAAGGAGCCCGGGACGCGGCCACCGGGGCCACCGCAAGGGTAAGGCTGAGCGCAGGGCGGGAGGGGGCTTGGGGCTGGCCCCCGCGGGGCCTTCGTGTCACAGTCCTGTCCGGATGTCACTCTTGGGTCCCCTGGAGCTCAGTTTACCTTGTCCTTGAACTCTCCTCCCCTTTCCACGATTGAGTGCTTTGCTCTCTTCCCCGGGACCCCGGAGGGTGAGTGTGGACCCCCCAGTCTCCCCATCTCCCCTCCGTCCCCCGCCAGTGTGCCGGGAGACCCTCTCCCCCAGCCGTTTGGCCCCCTTACAGCTGGGACCTTTCTGCTGTTCCTAAACTCCACCCCCATCCCCGGCACAAACTTCCGCGCTCCAGATCCGCCCTGCACCGTGGGCCTCCTCCCATGTGCTCCCAACTTTCCCCTGAGGCACCTCAAGTCCTTGGCCCGACCCCCTCCTCTGGAGCGGCTCCTTCTTAGGGTGGAGGGGGCCATCCCCTCACCTGACCCCTGGTTCTTCAGCCCGTTTTGTTACTGTTGTTCAGTCTTGTCAACTGACTCCAACGGCCTCTAACCCGTGAGTGGCCGGAGCTAAAGAAGCAGCTAGAGACGGGAGAGTCAGGACACAAACAAAAGTTTAATTAATTTCACAGTAAAGGTGATATCGTCCAGAGCGCAAAGGATTATTGTTATGCCAAGTCCAGGGCACAGCCTGCTTGCTAGGCCTGAGCTCTAGAAAACAAGGTATCTCCAAATATTTTGACAGTCGCTGTACTCGTAGTAACCCCTTGCAACATACTGTCAATGGTATTTTCTTGGCAAAGTGGTTTGCCATGCCCTTCTCCAGTGGATTAAAGCAAAGGGGTTAACTAAATTGAGGCTAGATGTGAACTCAGTGAGTTCCAGTGCTCTATCCACTGAACCACCTATCTGCCTCCTTCAACCCTTAACCACCTCCAAATCAGAGGAAGCAAAGTTATGCTGCCTTAGGTCAGGAAGTAATGGCACCTAACCAGCTTCCTGAAAACAGCTAGGTAAAATTGCCCTTGAGTTGAAGAATAGTAAAGCTAAGAGGGCCCCTAGAACACAGTGTCAGAACTGGGAGGGCCCTTAGAACACAGAGTGTCAGAACTGGGAGGGCCCTTATAACACAAAATGTCAGAGCTGGGAGGGGCCTTAGAACACAGGATGTCAGAGCTGGGAGGGCCTTTAGGACACAGGATGTCAGGGCTGGGAGGGGCCTTAGAGCACAGAATGTCAAAGCTGGGAGGGCCCTAAGAACACAGAATGTCAGACCTGGGAGGGGCCTTAAAACATGAAATGGCAGAGCTGAGAGAGATCTTAGATATTCCAGATCAGCCCCCTCACTTTGTAGATTAGGAAATTAAGATCAACAGAGGGAGACTCACATATCTGAGGTCACATACTAAGTTAGTAGAAGAACTAGCTTAACTTTTCTTTTTCAGTGTAGATGACAACCAAGAAATCTGAGAAATGCCCTTTAAAAGATCAGATCCTAGATCTAAAGTTAGAAAGGACCTCAGACGCCATATGGTCCATCCATATCAGGAAACTGAGACCCAGAGAGTTAAATGACTTGCCCAAGGTCATCCAGATAATAAGCACCAGAGGCACCACTTGAACCCAGGTTCTTTGACTCTAGAATTGATGTTCTTTCCATTGTACCACAGTACTGAAAATATATTTAATTTTTTGTAAATTAGAATTCCTCTCTTTGAAAAAAAAAGAGTGTAGAAATAGGATTGACACAGACTGTTCATCAAACAGGGGACTGCTGTATTAGGAAACTGAGGCAGACATAGATTAAATGACTTGCCCAGGGTCACATAACTAATAAGGTCTGAGATCCCAGGTCTTTCTGACTTCAGAGAAAGTGCTCTATCCACTGTGTTACCCATCTGCTTCTTTACATTAAAAAAAAAAGGCTAAGACTGGACTGGTAATTGGGCCATCCAGATTTGCAAAGGTCATTGGCTAAACTTGGTGGAGAGGGAGGCTTTAAAAATAAAAATATTGATAAGGAGTTATTTAGAGACTTCAATTGTTAAATTGGAAATATTTTTAAATACACCCAAGCTTGGGAATCTAAGTTGGGGAAGGAGGGGCAAGGCAGAGAGCTCAGGTCACAGCCTGGCCTTGTGGGCTCAGAAATACAAGGTCACTTCAAGAGCAGAAAATGGGCATTCCAGGATCACAGGGGTCTCATTCCTGTCATATGGTCCAACCAGGACCAGAATGGATTTGAATCCATTCTGCCCTTCAAATTTCCCCTTGGTACCATGTTTTGGCCTGAATACATCTCCTTCGGGACCTTCTTGCTTCCCTAGTTTTGATGGACAACCTCTTATTTCCCAGACTCCTTCCTTCTTCTCCAGGCCCTCCAAGCTCCATCTTGATGAGCCTATCCTTTGACACTTGAGGATGCCTAGAGACTAAGGAAGGGTTTGAATAGTGGGTAGGTGGGACTGAGCCCCAGGCCACCAGGCTACCCTTGGGTGGACTCCTGACTTTTCTCTCTTCTTGTATCTTTTCTATCAATCACCAAGGGTCATGTTGGTCCGGTCACTATCGTATTTGTTCGTTCCCCACCCATGGGGTGAGAGCAGAGTGGACCCACATCAGAACTAGAGAGTGAGTAAAGTTCATTTTTCACACCTCCAACCTACCCTTCCCCCACTATATGGTGCCCCCTCAGCTACACCAGGTCATCTTGGGCTCCCTTTCTTCCTTTCAATACTTTCAGTATTGTCAGACCTCTTCTCAGGAAAGGATCTGACAAACTGATTTACTTTTTCCTCAGTATTCCAATGATCTTTGCCAGGAGGAGGATGACCCTCTACTCATACAGAGAGCAGCCTCCCCCCACTTGATAGGTGGCTTTTGAGAGTTGCCATGGACAAAAAATTGTTCCCCCCATGTGATGAGCCTCCTCAACCTTAGCTAAGCTGGTCCTTGGACAGCAGATGTTATGTCATTAGCTTCCTACTTTAAAGCCTTTCCAGTATCCTAGGACCTCCCATGGTGAGGCATCAGAAAAAGATGTGATTATAGGAATTCATTTTTTTTTAAAGCTGATGTCAGAATTCATTACAAAAAAAGCCCTTCCCATTGAGAGTCACATTTTAATGGGGACCAAGGGTTAAGCCAAAAGAATAAAGCTCAAGCATTGACAAACAGATAGGGGAGATGTTTTGGTAACAATCTATACCACTGTACCTCTAACTCTCAGCAGAGAGTCTCGTCTCAGACTTTACTGAGCAAATAGGGACTATCTGGCCTGAGCTATCTCTTCTCCCTCTGTTCTATAACCTCGATAAACCCCAACAGCATTCTGGATACTCTTCTCACTTGCTCCAGTCTCTGGTGAAGAGAGAACCCTTTTCCTCACAAAAGATAAGCCTTCTTATGCCCTTGATCCTATTCTCTCCTGTCCCCTTCTCAAGTTTGCCCATTCCATCATCCCTACCACCACCACCACCATCACTACCATCATCATCACCACCACCACCATCACTATAACTACCACCATCACCACCGCCATAATCACCACCATCACCATCATCATAGCTACCACCATCACCATAACCACCACCACCATCACCACCATCACTACCATCATCATCATCACCACCACCATCACTATAACTACCACCATCACTACCACCATAATCACCACCATCACCATCATCATAACTGCCACCGTAACCACCACCACCATCACCACCATCACTTTCCATTCCAATCTACTGGCTTCTTTTCTGCCTTCCTACAAACATACCCTAATCTCCTCCATCCTTAAAAAACAAAACAACACCCTTCTCTTGATCTTGAAAGGTATTCATTCTACTGGCTTATACCTCCCCTCCCTTTCATCAGGATCCTAGAAAAAACCCTCCAGCTAATTTGCTTCCTTTTCCTCCCCTCTGATTCAATTCTCAGCCCTTTGCAGTCTGGCTTCTGACCACATACCCTGTCTGAAACTACTCTCTCCAGTGTTACTAACAATCTCTTAATAACTGAGTCCAGTGGCCTCTCCTCCATCATCATTCTTCTTAATTGGCTCTGCAGTATTTGTCTTGGCTGTGTTGAGGATAGAGGGAGGCTTTCTGTGGTGTTTTAAAGGGGAAGTGTGCTATAGTGGGAAGAGAATTGGACTTAGGAAGGAGTCAGAAAATATAGTCCTGGTCTTGGCTTTGACACTTATTGCCCTGAATTAATTACCTAATCTCTCAGACCTTCAGTTTCCTTATCTACAAAATGGGGAAATAATAACTTGCACTCCCAATTTCCATAAGGTTGTTATTGAGGAAAGTAGTTAATAAACCTAAATATAATAAATAATAGTAAACATGAAAATGTGATTTATTGCTTTTTAATTGGATGAAATCCTTTTGTATAAGCCACAGTGATTTTTGCCAGAGGTAGAAGGGGAGCCCTCTTGTTGGAGGCAACAGATTATAGCAGAAAGCGGTAGTAGTTCTAGAGCCAGAGGACCTGGGTTCAAATACTGACTCTTATGATTATTGCCCATGACTTTAGGTAGGGCAGGTCGCTAAGTCTCAGTTTCCTCATCTGTAAAATGAAGGGGTTGGACTTAGTGACCTCTGAGGCCTTTTCCAGATCTAGCTCTGTGATCCTTCCACCTTCTGTAAGCCCCATGGTCCAACTCTTCTCTAAGAATGAGGTGGAGATGGTACATCCTCCTGCACTGTGCCTAGGAAAAGAGAAATGAATGATGCAGTGGGATAATGTCTGCGTAGGTATGAAATAACAAGGGCGAGAAGTGGAAGAGAATTGTGAGGGAGAGGATGAAGCCAGGATCTTTGGATGCTGGATCTGGTGGGAGCTCAGTGGGTGTCCAGTCCAGGCCAGATTTTTGTACTCATGACTCATGTTGCTGCCCAGCCATTTGCGTTTTGGTCTCCAGGCCTATGGGCCAGTTCTTTTTTTTTTTTTTTTAATTAATACATTCATTTGTTTATTTATTTTAAGTTTTCAACATTCACTTCTATAAGATTTTGAGTTCTAAATTTTCTCCACCTCCTTCCCTTCCCCCTTCCCCAAGACAACATGCAATCTGATATAGGCTATACATGTACAAGCATATAAAACATATTTCCACATTAGTCATGTTGTGAAAGAAGAATCAGAACAAAAGGGGAAAACCACAAGAAAGAAAAAAAAAGAGAAAGAGAGAAAATAGTACATATCAATCTGCTTTCAGACTGCATAGTTCTTTCTCTGGATGTGGATAACATCCATCATGAGTCTTTTGGAATTGTCCTGGATCATTGTATTGTTGAGAAGAGCTCAATCTATCATAGTTGATCATTGCACAATGTTGCTGTTACTGTGTACAGTGTTCTCCTGGTTCTGCTCACTTCACTCAGCATCTGTTCATGTAAGTCTTTCCAGGTTTTTCAGAAATCCTCCTCTTCATCATTTCTTACGGAACAGTAGAACTCCATTACATTTATATGCCACAGCTTGTTCAGCCATTCCCCAACTGATGGGCATCTCCTCAATTTCTAATTCTTTGCCACCTCAAAAAGAGCTGCTATAAATAATTTTGTACATGTGGGTCCTTTTCCCTTTTTTAAGATCTCTTTGTGTGTATTGCTGGATATGCACAGTTTTATGGCCTTTTGGGTGTAGTTCCAAATTGCTCTCCAGAGTGGATCAGTTCACAACTCCACCAATAATGCATTAGTGTTCCAATTTTCCCACATCTTCTTCATCATTTATCATTTGCCTGTTTTGTCGTGTTAGACAATCTGATAGGTATAAGGTGGTACTTCAGAGTTATTTTGATTTGCATTTCTCTAATCAATAGTCATTTAGAGCATTTTTTCATGTGAGTATAGATAGTTTTAATTTCTTCATCTGAAAACTGCCTATTCACATCCTTTGACCATTTATCAATTGGGGAATGACTTGTATTCCTATAAATTTGACTCAGTTCTCTATATATTTTAGAAATGAGGCCTTTATCAGAGACACTGGTTATAAAAATTGTTTCCCAGCGTTTTGCTTCCCTTCTAATCTTGGTTGCATTGGCTTTGTTTGTGCAAAAACTTCTTAATTTAATATAAACAAAAGTATCCATTTTGCATTTCATAATGTTCTCTAGCTCCTATTTGGTCATAAATTCTTCCCTTCTCCATAGATCTGACAAGTAAACTATTCCTTGCTCTCCTAATTTGCTTATAGTATCATTCTTTATGTTTAAATTGTATACTCATTTTGACTTTATCTTAGTATATGGTGTAAGATATTGGTCTGTGCCTAGTTTCTGCCATACTATTTTCCAGTTTTCCAGCAGTTTTTGTCAAATAGTGAGTTCTTATCCCAGAAGTTGGAGTCTTTGGGGTTATCAAACAGATTACTGTAGTCATTGACTACTGTATCTTGTATTCCCAACCTATTCCACTGATCTACCTCTCTATTTCTTAGCCAGTACCAAGTAGTTTTGATGATTGCTGCTTTATGGTACAGTTTTAGATCTGGTACAGCTAGGCCACTTTCCTTTGCATTTCTTTTCATTAATTCACTTGATATTCTTGACCTTTTGTTCTTCCAGATGAATTTCGTTATTATTTTTTCTAGTTCTATAAAATAATTGTTGGTAGTTTGATTGGTTTGGCACTGAATAAGTAAATTAATTTAGGTAGAATTGTCATTATATTATATTAGCTCAGCTTACCCATGAGCAACTGATGTTTTTCCAGTTATTTAGATCTGACTTTATTTGTGTGGAAAGTGTTTTGTAATTGTACTCACATAGTTCCTGGGTTTGTCTTGGCAAGTAGACTTTCAAATATTTTATATTGTCTACAGTTACTTTAAATGGAATTTCTCTATCTCTTGCTGCTGAGCTTTGTTAGTAATATATAGAAATGCCAATGATTTATGTGGTTTTATTTTATATCCTGTGGGCTAGTTCTAAGTTGCAGGGTTGTTTAAATCTGTTAGCACACTTCCAGGTGTGCTGGATAGCTATGTATGTAGTGTCACCTAGCATTATTAAGCAACTACTATGTGTCAGGCACTGTGCTAAGCACTGGGGATACAAAGAAAGGCAAAAGACAGTCCCTGCCCACAAGGAGTTCACAATCTAATGAGGGAGACAACATGCAAAAAACATCATACAAATAAGATATGTACAGGATAAATTGGGGGTTTAAGGAAGACTGGGAAAGGCTCTTACAGAACCTTTTTAACTGAAACTTGTAAGAATCCAGGGAAGTCACGAGACAGAAATGAGAAGTTCCAGGCATAGTTTCTTGAGGGAGCTGTCTAACTTGAAAGGATCCCAGATTCTCAAAGTTGGAAAGGACCTCAGAAATCATCTAGCCTCACCGGTTCCTGAATCAATCAGTTGATTACTCAAGCATTTATTAAGCACCTGTGATGTGCTAAACACTGCTCTGAAGATTTGTTCAGTCATGTCTGATTCTCCATGACCACATTTGGGGTTTTCTTGGCAGAGATACTGGAGTGGATTGCCATTTCCTTCTCCAGCTCATTTTACAGATGAGGAAACTGAGGCAAACAGGTTAAGTGACTTGCCCAGCATTACACAGCTAGTAAGAATCTGAAGCTGGATTTGAACTCAGGGAGATGAATATTCCTGACTTCAGGCCTGGCGCTCTATCCGCTGCACCACCCAACTGCCCATATTCTGGGGAAATGGAGGCAAAAACAAGGCATATCCTGCCGGTAAGGAGCTTAAATCCTATCAGGAAAACAACAAATGTATAAACAAGTTGACACAAAATGCAAATAAGTAGATTCAAAGGAATTACTTCCTTCAGAGGGTTGGGTGCTATTAGCTGAAGGGAGTCAGAAAAGGCCTCATGGAGGAAGTGATGCTTCCTTAAAGGAAGCAACAGATTCTAAGAGGCAAGGGTGCATTAAAGATGGAGTGCATTCCAGGCATGACAGACAGCCTATAAAGGGCATGGAGAAATACCCTTGGGGAGATGAAATGTTGAGTGTCAAATGGGCTGGTTCAACTGGAATGAAGAGTGATAACTCTGAATTCATGGGAGCTGATGAAATCACTAATGAAAAGACAGTAGAGAGAGGGGGTCAAGGAGAGAACCTTGGGGAACACCCACTTTAAGGGAATAAGATGGAGAAGATCACCCAGCAAAGGGGACTGAGAGGGAGCAGTCAGTCCAATAGGAGGAGAGCCCCACAAAAGAGCAGTATCCAGAGAATAGAGCATATCTAGCAGGGGAGGGTGGTCAACAGTGGCATATGTTCTACAGAAGTCAAGAAGAATGAAAACCTAGAAAGGCCATTAGATTTGGCAATAAAGAGGTCCCTGGTAACTTTGGAGAGGGCCATTTCAGTTGAGTAATGAAACTGTACACCAGATTACAAGGGGTTGAGAAGTGAGAGGAAAGGAAGAGGTAGTGACACATGTAGAGAGGTAATTGTTGTTTTTTAATGGATTCAACTGAGAAATGGAGGGCTCTAATGATTGGAAACTTTTTCCTTTCACTGACCTAAAATAGGCCTCTCTGCTCCAGATCTTACACTGACTGAACACATCTGACCATTCATACATAGCCTTTCAAGTCTTTGAAAACAACCCTCATGTTCTCCAATCAATCTGGGGTGAGATGAGCCGCTCCTTATTTCCTTCAGATCCAACCCTCTCCTGTAACTGCACCAGTCTGGGGCAGACCCAGGATGAACCCATTCCAACATTTATACTGGACTTTTGAGGGGACGGAGGGAGCAATGAAGGGGAATGCAAAGTTTAGGTAGCCCATCTTGGGCCTTCCAAAAGAGACTGGCTGTTTCCTTAAATCTTCAGAGGGCTGCCATGTTTAAAATAGGGATGGAAGGATTTTCAGTGAATCTGTACATTTTTTTGCTCCAGTTCAGTAACTCAATTATCTGAAGACCTTTGGGTTTATCAGTTAAGCTGTTACCACGGAAACACAGTCGGATGCCAGAAATAACTGACTGCATTTGAATTTTGGCTCAATTTGTTAAGCTGGAGACCCAATGATGAGATTCTGAAATGGGATTCAGGGCTCTTTGAAGATGCTAGTGAGAAGAATGCAGATCCTCTGGGATTTAATTTTTTTTTTTACTTTTCTCACTGTAAACCACAATCCTTAGAATCTCAGTCCTGAGTGTAAAACACGTGGTTCATTGAATGAATGCCTAATCATGGAAGGAGGAAGAAATCAGGCTACTTTTTGGACTTATCCTTGGAACCCAGGTTGAAAAGGCTTCTGCAGTCTTGTGAATGCTCTTCCTACAGAACCATGGGGTATTAAGAGTTGGAAGGATTGGAAGGGACTTTAGAACACAGAATGTCAGAGCTGAGAGGGCCCTTCGAACACAGGATGTCAGAGCTGGGAGGGCCCTTAGAA